TCCTTCACTTAGATAGTAAGGGGAAGTAAAAGTTTAAGGCTCTCGATGGTTAAATCCCGAGACGCCACGAAGTTAATTATCCGTGACGCGAAATCCGAGGGAACGCGTCGGCGAGGAATATAAGGCGTAAGTCCCGCTGGGGACGCGCTTAATTAAAAGATATTAAATATGCACGCGTCAGATACGCGAGATAAACCAGCGAGGACCGAGGGCGAGCTCTTTGGGAGCCCCTTGAGCAGCAGGTAAGAGAAATGAATATTAGAGTCACGAGCGAGCAAGTATATATACGCGAAACCGCGAAATTAAGGGATTTAAATAGGCCGATAGGAGCCAGACCGCGAGGGGCGCGCGGAGGTTACGCGCGCTCTATACGCCGCGAGTCAATCGGAGTGGGTCTGCCGCGCGCCGTGAATCACATGCGCGCAGGTCAAGCCCATTCACTAGTATAGAGCAGAAGGCCGTTCGACCGTTGAGGGGACGCGTCAGGGGAAAGGGGACGGAGCGGACCGCGTGGCCCGTGACCACGTAGTACCGGCGTACCGAGACTTAAAGAGCCCGAGCCGCCGCGCGCGCGCATGCCGCGGCCGATCGCCGGCGAAACTAGCAGTAGCGACATCTGTCGATCGAATAACACACTACGAAGCGCGCAGCGTACCGACGCACCGGGCCGCGAGAGCCGCGTCCGGGAGCTGCTGCCACGCGCGAAGAATCTCGGAACCTCTAAGCCCGCGCTCTCAGAGACCTTGAACCGGCGGGTAAAAGAGCGCCGAGAATATAAAAATAGTTGTTTTACGACTATTGTAAGGGTCGCGGCGGGACGAACCCGTACGCGATCGAACCCGCGAATTTTACGCCGTGCGATGGACTGTAAATTTAAGGCTAGATACATAGGAACATATGTGAACGAACGCCCTAGTCGCCGAGTAAATTCAAAAGAAGTTAATGAAATTGTTGTTAACAAATGGCCAGAAATATGGCCACGTTCAATTAGCGAGATAGTGCGTTCGGTGCGCGGCGGGTAGACATATTGATCCCCGTCAGCGGAATAGCAATATCTATCCGCATTTATGAGTTATTAAATAAATTATGAGAAGGGGAGGGGGGCCCTTACAGGTTCCCATTGTTAAACCAGGACCTCCCCGAACTTCCGGCCTAGGGGAAAAGAACCAGCAGGGCACGTGGTAAACTTCGACCTGATCGCGAAAATTGTACGATCAGCTGGTCAGGTCAGGTCACTGTTTTTGTTTTTTTCTTTTTTCTGTTTTTATTTTTTTTTANGTCGGGTCGGGTCGGGTCGGGTCGGGTCGGGTCGGGTCGGGTCGGGTCAGGTTGTGACCGGTCAGGGGGCCCCGAGTCTCGGAGGATAAGGTCAACCGTTTACCCGGGGGCAAAGGTCAACCGTTTCCCCGGATCCTCGTCGGTAATCTCTTCCCGTAACACAGCGCAGGTTCTTGACCGCTACCTAAGGCTATCGGACCTCTAAACTATTAGTCGCAAATAGCCAGAAGTAACTCGAATCACTGGCAATTTTACCCGTCTGATTAAACAATTCCCTCTTTCACTTAATAATCGCCAATCCGTGCGATGGAACAATAAAGTTGCGGAGCTACCAGAGGCTATCTCGCCTCGCTCCCGTTTACGGTCTCTATGACCCCTAACACTTCCGGTACCAGACAATTAATTAATCTGGACCCTTCACGATCGTCAGATTTGATTATGCGAACGTGTCAAATATTTTAATGGAGTCGTCGGAGGATATCACACCTCACTCCCTGTATGATTGAATCTATCGCCTCGAGCACCAGCTAAGTATCACGCTGGCCTCGTCACGGATTTCCGTGAAGGCACGAACTTCGTTCCTTATAGTCGGTCGCCAGATGTTTTGACCCACTAAACACCAAGGTGGTAGGCTTCTTCTTCTTCTGCAACTCCTCTGGTTCACCTCTCGGCCGGTCCGAAGCGTAAGAGCGCCCTTGGGTGACCAGGAAAATAACACTTCGCGGATAAATAATAGACGCGAGATTTCATTTACTCATTTATTCCAAAGTATTCCGTAGTCATCAACAAATATAATTCGCGCGATATTCGCGTTTACAATAGCGCACTTCAGCGGCGTCGGACTGCGCGACGGCTATTCCACTTACTAGACGCTTGATTTCAGTAGCCGTAACTCGACTCAAGTCAACCCTCAATTAATCTTTAATCAACGAACTTCGACGGCGTCGGACCTTGCGACGGGTATCCGCGTACTAGTCGTTTATTCTCAATATTACGAATATGCCGATTCGCTCAGCAGTGATTCTACTTTATTTATTCCGCACAATTCTCCTTGCTTATTACGATTTGTCAGTATGTCTGACAGTGATCGGCACTTTTAATTAACACTTCTTTTATACTCGTATTCCCCCGTATTGAGTCTTTGCGTGACTCGATCCGCGGCGCTTACGGCCCGGGGTCCAGCAGGCCACGCGGCACGATCGGCCGGTCTCTGCTGCTACTGGATGCGAATTAGTTGTGGGCGGCTCGCGGCCCCCTATTTATAGCCGAGCCGGCCTGTCACTTTGATTTATGGTTGTAGCAACAGCTAAACCGCTGATCGCACGATATTCGCGATCAGCTCAAAGTTTACCTCGTGCCCTGCTGGTTAATTTCCCCTAGGTCAGAAGTTCGGGAAGGTCCTGGTTTAACAATGGTAACCTGAGCGAACCCCCCTCTCCTTCTCATAATTAATTAAATATCTCATGAATACGGATAGTTACGGTTATTCCGCTAACGGGGATTTATATCTCTACCCGCCGCGCTACGAACGCACTATCTCGCTAATTAAGCATAGCTTCATCTATCGCCATTTGTTAATAACAAATTCAATAATTTATTCGGAAGTTACGCGGCGACTAGGGCGTTCGTGTACACATATTCTTATGTATCTAGCCTTAAATTTATAGAGTCGCCGGTCCAATAGTTTAGGATTTACAGAGTCATAAATCATGACACCTGTCATCGATTTCTCGTTTAACAAATGATATCGGATTCGCACGCAAGGGCATATTATACTCCTCGCGGCGCTGAACAATAATCCGTAATTAGTTTTCAAATACCTCCACGCGTTCTCGAGAAAATAGCATTGGAATGTTGGTTGCATTCTAGAAGCTTCCATTTGTTCTTGACGGCACGTGCCGGTCTCCCCCCTTTGGGCCCGACTGCAGCGGCACGTGCCGACCTGTCAGCGCGTGATTAATCGATTTTTCGCTAACTTTGTTAATAGCGACCGCACGACGCTCAGATCGGTCAGGTTTTATTCGGAATAGCTTAACTAGACGAATCCGCCACTTTTGGGCGCGATGAACAAATTACATTATTTTATATGATTATTTAATCGCCTGTATCGGCTATTACTGCCCTATCTGCGAGACCAACGGGTCTATCGCATGGCATAAAATTCGCGGGTTCATGTGCGCACGGTCTCGTTCCGATGCGACCCTTACAACAATAGTAAATGATTAATTTAATACGCTCGGCGCTTTATTACCCGCCGGCTCAAGGTCTTTGCATGCGCGAGCTAGGGGGTTCCGAGATTCTCCGCGCGTGGCAGCAGCTCCCGGACGCGGCTCTCGCGGCCCGGTGCGTTGGTACGCTGCGCGCTTCGTAATGTATAATTTGGCCGACAGATGTCGCCTCGGTTGAATTCGCCGGCGAGCGGCCGCGGCATGCGCGCGCACGGCGGCTCGGGCTCTCGCGTCTCGGCACGCCGGCGTCACGTGGTCTCGAGCCACGCGACCCGTCCCGTTTCCCCTGACGCATCCGCTCTACAGTCGGACGGCCTTCTGTGCTATATGGTGAATGGTACTGACCCGCGCGCGTCTGACTCACGGCACGCGGCAGACCCACTATGAATAATTCGCGGAGTATAGAGCGCGCGTAATCCCCGCGCGCCCCTCGCGGTGTGGCTCTTTTATCGGCCCGTTTAAGTTCCCAAACTATCGCGTCTCGCGTATCTATACTTTCGCTCGCGATCTCAATGGTCTCTACTTTACCGGCTGTTCAAGGGGCTCCCATAGAACTCGTCCTTAGTCCTCGCGGGTCAATTTTTCGCGTGTCTGATGCATAAATAAATTCTTACCTTTTTTACTAGCGAGTCCCCAGCGGGATCAACGCCTCGCCGACGCGTTCCCATCGGATTACGCGTCGCGGAATGTGGCGTCTCGGAATTTCAACCATCGAGAGCCCATAAGCATATAATTCCCCTTACTCTACTTTAAATCTCCCCTTATATTTAGAGGAAGAGAAGGGTTAAACACGTGTAGTTTCAATAAAATACAGTGTGTCCTTCAATATTCATGAATATATAAACGACAGACTTCTGTCTCCTTCCTTGGTCCGTCGTGCTGATCACCCTTGCTCTGCTGCCGGTTTCAAGGTTAGGTTAGGTTAGGTCAGGTCAGGTCAGGTCAGGACAGGTCCCCCTCGTGGTGCATCACCTTGCCGTGGTGAGGGGGCTTGCGTGGCTCAATGATCCCTGAGGCTGTGCCGGCGTGGGCTTCGGCCCCTGGCAGGTCCTACCTTGCCGTAGTGGCTCAGGGTGAGGGTCCAGACTAAGAGTGCACCGAAACCCGTGCCCAGCTGTCGTATCGTGGCGGAGGGCATTGCAGACGGGATAACGATGCCGGTGGAGGTCACGCTCTATGCGGGGTCGTCGTCGTCACACCGTAACCCCTTCGTGTTGTCGTGGACATGTCTCGCGGACACGGAGGGACCGGGGGCCCTGGCTTAACCGCCCGGGTCGCGAGGAAGGAAACCTCTATAACAAATTACCCCAATCCCAAGGTATGATGCGCGCCGAAGGGATGCGTGGCTGAGGGGGAGCTCAGTCTCTAGCGATCAACCCCCGAGGCCCCTGCCGCACCCCAGGGCGTAACAAGGCTTGCCCTGGTCAAGGCGGCTCTGGCCAGGGCTGACGCCCATCACCGACCCAATCGTGGGATGAATATATGGAAACAAGAATGAAGACTACGCATAGAAAAAAGGAGGGCGGCGAGTTACGGAAGGAGGTCAGTCAAGCGGCGACAGGAACCGATGGACCGGAAACGAGAGGGGCGCGGCGGCGTGGGACGTCGATGGAGAGGCCAATCCGGGTGGACCGGTCCTTCGTTGAAAGTGAGGACAGCTGGTCAAATGCTGCTTCCGGGGACGGCACGGGGTCTGCAGGGGACTCGTTGACTCATCTCGAGGGGTCCCAGGCGCCACCGCGTGAGGAAGGGGCGCTGGAGGTTCTGTCGAACGCTTCCTCGGACTCGCCAAGTGTCACCGGCACGGGGAAGCGGAAGGGTAAGCGGGGCAGGCCTCTTCGCACTTCTAGCGAGGACAGCCCGGTGAACCCGGTGCCGAAGAGGCAATTTCTGGAAGCGGTCGATGCCGAGGAAACGCTGAAGGAGAAGAAGGCGCGCAAGCCTGCAAGGTCTAGCAAGCCTCTCCCAAGCCTGGAGAAAGTGGCTAAGGAGATGAGGCTGAGGCCCGCTGCAGACTTGGGAGCCGAAGTGTTTGAGGCCATGGGTGAGGTTGAGAGAGTGGCCAAGGACTTCGGGCATTTACAGGACGCATTTGTCAGGTGCCTCCGCTTGGCAGCCCTGCACACCAAAGCGGCTGCCACGGAATTACTGGCAAGAACGGTAGCTGGGACGGGAGCGGAGAGGCTGGAGCAGGAAAACCAGCAACTTCGCATCAGGCTGGAGGCCACCGAAGGGCTGGTCCGCAAACTGGCCACGGAGGTGGAGACCCTAAAGGCCAGACCGTCTGGCCCGAAAGGGGCGTCCACCGACGCCGGGGCGGGAGCGTGGCGAAGGCGGCCCCCTCCCCCGGCGGCGCCTGATACACGGTCGACAGACTTGGAGGGTGGGGGCCCGGGCATCCTAGAACAGGTCCGGGCCCTAATGACGGAGGGACTTCGGGATATCCGCCGCGAGCTCCTTTCGGAGTTCCAACGGGGGGGAAATCCCTACCTCCTTGCTGGCTCTCCGGCTGGAGGGCCTCCGGTGGCGATGGGGACGGTGGTTCCGTCTACCGCCACCGCGACAACTGCGGATAGGAGGAGGAGGGCCGGGGCTAAACAGCCACTGGCTCCGACACCCCCTACCCAGAAAGAGAAGAAGGACGGGGGGAGGCGTGATGCGCCCCGTGCGGGGCCGTCTAGAGCGCCACCCGGCGGAGAGGACTCCCACCAAGCGGCAGGGCTGCATGAGGTCCCCTGGGCTAGGGTTGTGGGCCGGAAGTCGAAGAAGGGTAAGGAGGGCGAAGGGTTGCCGCCCTCCAAACCTGTGCGGCATAGTGACTCCGGGGGGAAGGGGGCTGGGAGGAGTTTGCTGTCCAAACCCAGAGCCCGCCGCCCGCTTACTTTGAAGGAGGCGGCCGTCACGTTGACGGTGCAGCCGGGGGCTGGCATCGCCCTGCATGAGGTGATGACAAGAGCCAAGAGGGAAGTCGACCTCAGCGAATTAAACATCGACGGGGTGAGACCAAGGAGGGCCGTTACAGGGGCCCTCATACTGGAGGTGCCCGGCCCGGATAGTGTCCAGAAGGCCGGGCAGCTTAAGGAGCGCTTGAAAGCTGTCTTCAAGGAAGAGGAGGTCAGAGTGGTGCGGCCGACTAAGATGGCGGAAGTGAGAGTCCGAGATCTCGAAGACTCGGTCACTCCGCCAGAGGTCGCCAACGCGATAGCCCAGTCGGGGGACTGCGACCCCGGGGACGTGAGGGTCGGCGTCATTCGACCCTCCCCTTCGGGGCTTGGGACGGCCTGGATTCGCTGCCCGGCGGGAGCGGCCAAGAAATTGGTGGCCACCGGGAAACTGAGGGTGGGGTGGACTATCGTCCGGGTCGAGGCGCTGGTGGCCAGGCCATTGCAGTGCTTCCAGTGCCTCGAGCTCGGTCACATGCGAGCGACTTGCCCCGGTCAATTCGACAGGTTGTAACGGGTCAGGTGGCGAATGCGGGCCCCTGTGCAGCGAGGATTATTTCGGGAACCGTTCGGGCATGCGCGGCGACCTAGAAAAGAGAGTAGGGAGGCCGCGAGTGGGGATCGCGATTTCGCGATTGCGGAGCACCGAAAGGGAGCTCTCTTGGATTTCAGACGCGATACCGATCGGTACGATCGCGCACAAAGTATTAGATGTCTATGAGAAAAGGTAAGTACTTTCTTCCAGGTACCTTCTCCAGCGAGTCGGGCATGCCGTCCCCTCTCGTATCCTACTTTTCCAACAATCTTTCCTTTTAAATATTCCCAATCCGTTCCATTTCTCGGTCTCGGACTTCCCCGACTCTCGAGCCACCTTTGTCTCCCAAAAAGACTTCTTCTAGCCGATCTCCGAGGCTAGGTAACTTAGAATAAGTGATACTAAACCCCGTAGAGCACAACTCCAGGAAGAATCATAGATTCGCGGAACCAATTAGTCCTCGGTCCAAGCATTAAAACCCATTGAGTAACGATAGATTTCGTTTAGGCTGATCAGCCCCTCCCATAGGACGAGTAGCATTCTCACACCAAGGTTCAAAAAAGAACCTCAAGTTCATTCCCGTAGGGTCAACTAGCCCTGAACTAGAAATAGGTTTCGGCGCGCGGATCAACTAAAACTAAAGAACTGCTAACTTAGGGCACGGAGTAGGGGACTAACGTTCCTGAACTCTTAACAGTTAAATTTGTCCCAACACCCGAAATTCCACTATTCCAGATCCTCATGATTCAATGATGAAACTACAGAACGCACCGATAACGGGATAAGCCGTTCTTACTGAGAATCAAATTCCATCCTTCCTTGTACTGGGAAGATTTCCCTACATCCGTCAACAGAAAAACCGGAAACAGGAGTACCGGGAAGATATAATAGAATTGGGATTGCACCTCATTTAATTTAAAGCAATCCGGAACGGTGAATAATTTTCCTAGAAATTTAAACCACTAATTCGTGCGAAACGGTGCGGAAGCAAAGGCCCCAACGTTGGAAAAACTCGCTAAATCCAGATTCGGTCGACAGGCCTTCCGACTCGCCATAATATTTACGCGCTCAGCTGATCGTTCGTGAACGCTCTCCTCGCTCTCTCGCCAGTCTCTTTCTATTTTACATATTAGAATTTAAATTAATTTCGGTCTCAGGAATCGTGAGGCTCGAACCCTCGAAGAATGCAGTTTTTCTGTGCATAGGCACGGATCAAACTGCATACCATTACAAGGTCCAGATGTTGCTACGTTTGCGGGGAGGCCGGACACCTGGCGAACGCCTGTGTGGCGACGAAGCCGAGATGCCCGGTCTGCGCAGATCAGGGACGGCCAGCCGAGTACAGGCTGGGTTCGAAGGGGTGCGCCCCACCCCGACCCAGGACGCGGCGGGGTGTAGGGGTGCCCCCCACACCCGGCGAGAAGAGGACGACCAGGACGACGGCTGCTTCCGCCGAGGGATGCGCGGTGGAGGCTGGCGCCGTTGGAGAGGCCATGGACACCTAGGCCTTCCGTCGGCGCGGGCAGTGGTGCAAAGCCAATGTGGCGCACTCTCGGGGGGCGCAGGACCTCTTGATCCACGCCCTTCGGGAGGTCGGCGCTGATGTGGCCATCGCGGCGGAGCCGCACTCGGTTCCCCCCAGCCCTGACTGGGTGGGGGACGAGTGTGGTTCCGTAGCCATCATAAGGGGCGGGCGGCCTCGGGCTCCTCCGCTGGCGCCACTGGCGCAGGGGGAGGGGTTTGTGGCCGTCGACTGGGACGGTGTGACCCTGGTCGGGGTGTACGCTCGCCCGAGCTGCACCCTGGCCGAACTGGAGGAGCAGTTGGACGCGGTGGGGAGACTCGTTGCCTCCCTGGTTCCGCCGCGCCTGCTGATGGTCCTGGGGGACTTTAACGCTCACGCTACGGCGTGGGGGTCCCCCAGGACGGACGTGAGGGGTCACGCGGTCCTCGACTGGGCGGCGGGGTTCGGCCTCCTGCTGATAAACAGGGGGTCGAAAAGTACGTGCGTTCGGCCGCAGGGGGATCTGACGTGGGCCTCCCCGAGTGCCGAGCGCCGTATCTCGGGGTGGAGGGTGGCGGAGGAGAAGGAGACCCTGTCGGATCATCGGTATATACTGATGAGGGTCTCCACTTCCTCCGCTGTCCGTAGCCGGGAAGGCAGCCCCCCCGGCGCCGGGCCGGCCCCTTGGCGCCGCGGTGGTCTGTCAGGGTGCTCGACCGGGCGATGTTGGTCGCTGCGGCCGCGGCCGCGGGCTGGCGCGGGGGTGCGGAGCCGGTTCCCCCCGCCGGCGATGTGGAGGCGGGGGCGCGCACGCTCCGGGGTGACATGGTGCGGATCTGTGACTGCGCCATGCCTCGGGTGCGTGCGCCCCCTCCTCCGCGGCGGGCGGCGTATTGGTGGAGCGCGGAGATTGCGCGTCTCAGGGCATTGTGCCATGGCGCGCGCCGCCGGTACGCCCGCTCGTGCCGCTGCCGGCGGTGGGACCGGGAGGCGATGGGAGCCCTGAGGGTCGCGTACCTGGAGGCGTCCAGGGCCCTCAGGGCCGCCATCGCCCGGGCCAAGGCCCGGGCCTGGGAGGAACTTCTGGGCGGGCTCGACGGTGACCCTTGGGGGCGTCCGTATAAATGGTCCTGGGGAAACTCAGGTCATGGACGCCCCCGGTCACCGAGACACTGGACCCCCTCGTGGCGGGGCGGATTGTAGCCGCCCTCTTTCCTGAGGGAGGGCCGGGAGAACGGTTGGCCCCTGCTCCGGCGGGCGGGATGGTTTCGCCCGCGGGGGTGGAGGTCCGGGAGGACGAGCTCGCCCGGGCCGTCCGGAAACTTTCGGGGCGGAATACCGCCCCGGGGCCGGACGGCATTCCGGGGAAGGCCTGGGCCTTGGCCGCTGGGGAGCTGGGACTCCGCCTCCGGGCGCTCTTCACGGAGTGCCTAGGGGCGGGGCGGTTCGCCAGGGACTGGCGGGTGGCGCGCCTGGCCCCCATTAAGAAGCCGGGCAAGCCGGCGGACGAGCCCTCCGCTTACCGCCCGATCTGCCTGCTTGACGAGGTGGGGAAGCTCTTCGAGCGCGTGGTGGCTGGCCGCCTCGTCGAGCACCTGTCGCGTGTGGGGCCTGACCTGGCCGACAACCAGTTCGGGTTCCGGGAGGGACGGTCGACCATCGACGCGCTAGTTCGCGTGCGGTCCCTCTCGGACTCGGCGGCCGCCCGGGGCGGGGTGGCACTGGCGGTGTCTCTGGAAATCGCCAATGCATTTAACACCCTGCCCTGGGATGCGGTTATGAGGGGCCTGGAGCGCCACCGGGTCCCTCTGTACCTGCAGTCGGTCGTCCGGGCCTACGTGCGCGACAGGGTGATCACGTACACGGATCGGGATGGTGTGGCGCAGTGGAGGGCGGTCGTGTGCGACGTTCCGCAGGGGTCGGTACTCGGGCCGCTCCTGTGGTGCGTCTCGTACGACTGTGTCCTGAGGGTTGTTCTCCCCCCCGACGCTCACGTCGTCTGCTACGCGGATGACACGGGCGTGATCGTCGTGGGGGAGGATCCTGGGAGGGTCGGGCGCGTCGCCGAGCTGGCGGTGGCACGCGTCGTTGCTGCGATACGGGGGTTGGGGCTTTCTGTGGCCCCCCATAAGACGGAGGCGATGTGGTTCTACCACAGGCGCCGCCGCGGGGGGCCGCCACCGCCCGACTCCTGGATACGCGTGGGTGGGGCTCACGTCCGGGTCGGGACCTCGATGAAGTATCTTGGTCTCGTCCTGGACAGCCACTGGAGCCTGGAGGTGCACCTCGAGCACCTGGCCCCTCGGGTGGAGGGCGTGGCGGGGCGCTCTCCCGCCTACTCCCGAATCTCGGGGGGCCGGACGAGGGGGTTCGCCGCCTCTACGTGGGGGTCGTAGCCTCTATGGTGAGATACGGCTCCCCTGTGTGGGCGGGCGACCTGGTGGCCAGCAAGAAGTGTCTGTTGATGCTTCGACGCCTCGAGAGGCGGCTGGCCATCCGAGTTGCCCGAGCGTACCGCACGGTGTCGTATGAGGCGGCCACCGCCTTCGCCGGGGTGCTGCCCTGGGACCTCCTGGCGGGGATGGACGCGGCGAACTACGAATTCGCCCGCCGTCTCCGTCCGGGGGGCTGTGGGGCCGTTCCCCGGCAGCATCGGAGGGCGGTGGAGGTGCACCGGGCCCAGGCCCGGCGGCTCGCCGAGGAGCGCTGGCGGGAGCGCCTGCAGGCGAGCGCGGGGTCCTCGTCAGCGAAATAGGGGCGGACCTCTCGCTGCCGGCCGTGGTCAGAGCCATGGTCGGGGGCAGGAGGGCTTGGCAGGCGGCCGTCTCCTTCTGTGAAGCGGTGATGCTCCAGAAGGAGGCGGCCGAAAGGGAGAGAGAGCGGGCGGACCCCGCCCGAAGTCGAGGAGGCGGGCGCCGGGACCGCAGGGGGGGCTAGCCCCCCTCTCGGACCACCCTGGCCACCCCAACCTGCCTCCCGCGGCCCACTACGGCCCCGCGAGCGAGGAGGCGGCGTCGAGGCACGGGGGCCCGGCTGTGCCCGGGCTCCTCCGGGTGCCCTACGCCGCCCGGGCTGGCGGGGAGGGGCTATAGGCCCCTCCCAGCGTACGCCGGCCCACTGGCGATGCGCCCTTGGCCCCTTCTTCCCCCCTGCCATCCTGGGTGGTAAACCCCTGGGGGGGGGACGTGGGGGACGTGGGGACCGGCTTGGCCCGGGGCGCGGAGGGCCGCAGGGTCCCGAGTACGGGGAAATAGGGACCCATTGCACGCAGCACCCCCCTCTACAACGAGCGGGGCCGAGGGACGGGCGGTCGCGTCCCTCGGCTGGTAGACGCGGTAATAAGGGGCGGGGGTTAGGGGGGGATTGTGTCCACCCCCGCCCCCTCCCCGGGATAGGGCCCGATAAAGCGGGTGTGGCGCGGAGGGACCGCGGATGCAGGAAACCCGAGACCGTGGTCCCCTCCTACGTGCCGATG